CAAATATGATTCCTAGATTTTAAGGTCGAGTAGAAGAGCTAATTGCATCGCCTACGCTTGTTCAAACTACATACATTCCCACACATAAATTTTGGAGTGTTTGGAAAGAATTCCATACGATTTCGAAGGTTGGCAACTTTTTGAACTTCGAACTCCGTGCACTTCTTGAACAAAAGTACATCGTCTTTGCAGTAGAGGCAATAAGTCAGACAACCTGCAGAAAAATGTTTTTTCTTTTCTCTCCAAACGTATCGCTGACTGCTTGCATGACTTTTGCGAATTTCCAGTAATGGTTTCGTCTCGCGAAACACATTGTATGATTGTATTCTTCTTCTCTTACGCTCGACGTACGTGCCAACAATCAAGGGCAAAACCGGCGCCTCACCTCTAAGGCATAAAGCAAGTAATCCAAGTTTTTTCCCAAAAGGTTCAAGATGTTTGGAGAAATCACGACTGCTTGCGGGAAAACCAGAATAGCCCGATTTGTGCAGGAAAAACCAATTGATGGGAACATATGGCATGCCATTCGATCAAACCTCGAAAAGTTCGACGAACTCAAGCTAAAAGGGGACGGGTCATTGAGAATTTCCTTGCTTATTCAGCAAGATTTCTCTACAATCATAGAAAAAGTGGAATACCCTACGTCAAGAATTTCATTTGGAACGTTAAATACTAAGATACCATACTTTAATTTTTTCTAGTGCGGAATTTAAGGGCCAATGTGCATACGTCACGCAATTGGCTCACAAGTTCCACTTCTGCAAAAGAAAATGAGCAGAGAGAGTTATGACTGCTGACTGACTGTCTACTTTATATTCTTTGATAGAAGGGTTTGCAATTCCTGCCGAAATAATTGCTATGGATTTCCTGAGAAAAATATAATTGATACTAACCATTTGATTTGTAACGAGTAATAAAAACCCGGCGACGAATGAGTGCTTGAAGCTGCGGTTTTTCGCAGTACCTTTTCTGCTCTCTTCCCCCCCCCCCTCCTCCTTCCACTAATTCTCACACTAAAAGAAACCAGCGAACATCTTTGCCATATCAAGTTGTTGAAGGTTAACAATTGATAGTATGTATCAAGTGACCAAAGTCGAAGGTTATCTTGTTTCGGGAGGGAAAGGGAGGAAGAAGGAGAGTGAGAAGGGATGAAAATATTTTTCAAGAACCTTCATACGAAAACTGAAATGATAATAGTTTTATCCTAAAATTCTGCCTTGACTGCCAATCAGTTCACTTTTTGTGTTTTTTATGCCTGAAAAATACATTTTGCTGATGCCGTTCTCTGCAAATCTTAACTTTCTACTAATCCGCACAAAAGTTGATATTTGGAAGACTAGTTTGCATAAGTTCTTCGGTGGTATAGGATACTATGGGTATTTTTCAGCACTTTTATAATGTATAAAAAATAATAATTGACTACAATGTATCTTGAACTATACATTGAGAATGATTTATGTTTGATATAATTCAATATCATGAATTCCATTTATAAACGCTCTAGACATGGGTACATTTCATTTTCAATATGATTAATGCATAATGTGTTTATACAGGGTGTCCCAAAAGTATATATACACTGTTTGATCGTCAATATCTCCCTTCCCTAAGAATCTTTTGCCTGCCTTTAAGTACCATTTTGTAGAGCAGGCTTCAACTTAGATTTACAGCAAGGAGCGAATCACCGATCTTTCCTCATTACTGTAACGATAGGGACTTTGAGAAGCGTTTTGTGACGTTGAGGGTTCTATTCCGTCTTGCAAAGTAAGCCAAACAATCTGTAAACGCTTAAACTAAGCTGATTGAAGTCGCCTAAACCAAATATGAACATTGCATTTGATCGCGATGCTTCCTTCATGACTTATGCTCCGTAAACCGTAATAGCTGTTTTTACTATGCTTCTAAAATTGCAGTCACACCCTTTGAAAAGTCTTACAAACTTCTAGGAAAGTTGAGTAATAAAATCAGCGCACGTAAAATCCCTGGTACACCACTTTTAAGAATTTCTGGGAATTTTTTTTGAAACACGGCTAATCCACAATGCTGCTGTAAGCCAAAAGTTCTTACCATGATCCTACAGTACCGAAGAGCGATCGATGCTTCGCCTTGTTCTGTAAATCTAAGTTGAAGCCAGCTCTACAAAATGGTACCTTAAGGTAGGTGAAAGACTCCCTGGGAAAAGAAATATTTACAATTAAACATTGTATACATACTTTTGGGACACCCCGTATACAATGCCATATAATATAGAGTTATTGTTATTCATTTATCAGAAGTATATTTGAAGATAAGTAATTTCATCACTTTTATAAATTCAATATAAGAAACATATATAATCATGTATGATAAACATTTATACGAAAGAATTGTCTTCTTACGTTACACAATTTTCTGGAACCTTGCTTTCAAAACATTCAAGTCCACTCTTTTTACTCCCAAACAAACTTACTTATCATTATAAAAATAAGTTTTACGGACTTCCCGTTAATGAGCAGTTCCAGGGAAGGTTTGTAGATACTTTGAAGGGAAACGAAGCCTTCTGATTATTTACACATCGTGAACCGAAAGATTTTCCTCTTATTATTGACCTAACTCGACATTTGCAAAATATGGGTGTTTACGAAGCTCATTTTTTGCGATAAGACATTGATAACTTCTTCTTTAGAGATTAGGAGAGAAAAAGGCGATATGCTGCGTTTATCAAGAGCCTTATCATATGAGCCCAAAACAAGGGAAGTAATTTCGCTAATGTAAAGCGAATAATGCGTTTTTAGCAAGTTTTTGTCCACATTTTCTATAACCAGAGCCATGCGTTTGATTTCGCCTTTCAAAGAATAAATCAGGTTTTTTCTGACCTTATTTAGCTGGGGACGATGGCACACTTACTGAGATGATGTCAGTGCGTTGTAACGTCGTTCTGACTTTATCTCATTGGAATGACCTTTGAAAGTGCTCTGCAAATAAACGGCAAAGGCGTCTAATCCGTTCACATTTCGAAAATAGGTTATTACGCTAAGAAGGATAATTTAGGAGCAATCAACGCAATCGAACCATTATTGACTGCTGCGGGAACGACATTCTATAATCTAGTTTCATAAAACTGCTATAAAGGTAGCTCTGCTTTATGCTATCTGACCTAATTGAAAGAATTTTAAGATCTTAAAGAGTGAAGATTTTGCGCAAAAATCATGACGTAGAGACGGCAGCTTGGTAGGGGGGAATAGTTGGAGAAAGGGGTAGGAACCTAAATTTTTGTCGTTCCGAGAAGAGCTGGTTAAGAGATTTTTTCTACTGCGAAAATCAATAGGCTTGAAGCCTCACTTTGTCAAAATCCAACTTTTACATACTATACTGTACTGCATATTTTCCCACTTCTTGACTCCAAGAAAAACCTTGACTCCAGCTTTTGGCCTTTTGTATTCGTTGTCGCGCCCAAAATGCCAGAAATATATCTATTGCAGACCGACATTTGCGTCTGCAATCAGTGGGCGGGATTATCCTGCCGAGCGGGGCTACAACATATTCCAAAAAATCGTTCTCGAGTGCATTTTTTTCATCCTCCCAACCACGAATGAATTATAGAATCTGCGATTCCAACATGATTTCCTGTCAATACTACCTGCAGTATGAACTGCAAATTCTCTTGCTTGTAGTGAATGGATGAGCATATCCCTGTGGGCGGGACTATCCTCTATTTTAGCTCACTTCCAAAGCGTCGCATCCGAGCTGATTTTTTGTCGTCATGGTTAACAGCTTTGGTTTTTGGGGTTTTAATGCGCAACAGTGAATGAGCCCCCCTCCTCCTTTTTATTTTATTATGTTTGTCCAAGCACTTGAGTATCTTGTACAGTTAATTTTTGCAGTATTTACAGACGAGAACTGACCACTTTTAGCTCAACATCTGCATCTTAGACGTGTTAGAGATATGACAGGATTGCAAGCAAGGTTCTATACAAATTTTTTTCCTTTACTTCGTATTACAAATGAAGAGCCCCTTTTTCGCCTGAGAGATAACGTTCCCTGACGAGTCGACGAGTTCCCTGTTCCCTTGAGAAGTTCTTATTTCTCCTAATGACCCGCATTCGAAGAATGCAGTAAATATTGCTAAGTTCAAGTACGTATAGATGATAGATTCATAATTTCTTCGAGCAACCAGTTTGGTATAATTGGGCTGAGTGCAAGGATAAACTTCAACCGATGCCGTTCAAGCAGCTATTGAAAAGTAGCGCAATAGAACTGGTTTGCTAAAAATTTCCAAGCAGTTTTTGTTGTTTTTCACGGATGATTTAATGTGAGTTTTCCGATTTTGAAAGGTTTATTTGAGCGGTCCGCAACTTGGGGATCGCCTTAAAAATACTTGGTCTGCCTCCTCAGGAAAAAATTGTAATGAGGGGGGGGGGGAGGGCAGAAATTTGCGTAGAATGAAGGGGTGTGTAGAAACGCCATCCGCAAGAAGTTAGGATGCTTTCAACTTTTCAGTGCGCCTACGCTCAAAGAAAAACTTTTCTATAAGGCTTATTTGGATTTTTGAATCTTTTAGAAATCGTATGAAACAACTAAGAAAATTCGTGCAGGGTTTTATGTCATGGGTAACTTCCATAATTTTCGTTGTAGTAATTGCTGTGCTACAACGTCGCAGTTGATTGCCTCATAATACGCGTATGACAAGCTCGGGTCGTATTTTTGCGTGTGTTGTTGTGTTGTGTGCATGTGTACGAGAGTTGAATGAGCGCACACCGTTAAATTGTATTGTCAACTGTCGTCGAGGCGACCTCTACGTGATGACAGACACTGGGAAACCCGTTATTAGCCCCTGCGCGACTTTTGTGCTAGCCGCTTTTTGCCCCCCGCCGAAGCACCGAAGGGTCACGGCTACGAGGTCGAGATCGGAAAAAGCCCGACGAGTTTGTCTTGACATCGCCTCGACTTTGGCACGCACACAATCCGGTCCCCGCCATTGTGCGTGATGGAGCATTTTTAATGTAATTGAGGGATAAATTATGGTGCGTGGACAATGACAGGGCGGAGATGGTTCATTCTTCATTACACAGCAAGTTACAGGAAAAATGTCACTTTTTAAACCCGTCGAAGTACATGGTATCTGTCAAGCGGTTGACATGACCGTCAATGGCTGTTAGAGTTTCCATGAGCTGAAAAGGAGGGGTTAGAATTGAGGAATATGTAAAACAAAACATAGAAAATTCTTATCAAGTGTGATCATTATGATCGACAGCGCCCTTTTATTTATTCCTAATTTAAGAGAAATATTTTTAAATATTTGGACGCTTTAGGTTTCACCTCCTGCATGTTCTTAATGATTTAAAAAAATAAATAGAACTACACCAGTTTGAATTTATCTATGACAAAAACATTCATATAACTAAGCGCTCTACGGAAAGATCTTGAACCGTCGTAGGTTTTGAAATTTCTGCATCAGAAATTATTTATGGCTAAAAAAGCTAGCAGTATTTTAGCTTTAATTTTACATCACAATCATCCAGCTGTGTGTAATAATCAACTACAAATTGAAGTACTTGCCCTAAGCTATCTGAACGCGGTTAGTTATGAAACCAAGGATTATTAAAGGGAATCTGAAGAATTTGGCAGATGCTATGAGAAAAATTTGTGTCAGTAAAGTACAGTGGCAAGTCATGTACCACAGTTTTATCAGGCTGTTACTAGATTTATCCGCCTTTATTACTGGAAATCATTCATCAGCCTATATCATATTTATTACCTTTAACTCCACTTTATTGAACTTTCATAACTTCCTAAACAACTTTTTTTTGAGAAACCCAAGCAGCATGCCTTGCCCCAGTATATGCACACCATGTATAATATGTATGACTAATAGAAACTATTTTTGTTCACAATTTACCATATTGCTTAATGGGTACTGCCACAAAATCAGCAAAGGAAGAGTTGGCTTGAGCTAGAAACTCTAGTGATTACTATCAAAATCTGTTCACGTTGCGCTTTACAATTTGAGGAAGCAAATACTCCTTTCCAGAGCTTTTCAGGCCTTATCGCATCTGCTGACGCTTCTAATGTTTTACGATGCCTCTGACAAGAAGCTCAGAACTATTCATGACGCGAGATGGTTGTAGTCAAAGTTCACTAGTATATTGGTCTTTGGTGTCGGAATGCTGGTCATTAACGTTCTTCGGAATGCCTGGAAAACCTGATAGCTACTGCGCCACCGTCGTAAAGCAGTAAATAGAAGTTTACTTGCAGTGTTCAGCAGAAGGTTTTGATCTTAGGCGATAGTTGACATTCTTTACGAGTGCGGAACTCAAATTGATATTTATGCTACTGGCTCCACTGCTACTGACTCACACTCAAGGTAAACGCATACATTCGTATTGTTGGAGAAGTCGTATTTCCAACCAGTGGCCGACCGGGGGGGGGGGGGGGGGGATGGGGTTTAAAAGTTACTTGTATGAGTTATCTAAATGTGCAAGTGACCTGCTTATATCATAATCAGAAAAATTCTACTTGTAGATAACCAGAATTTTTTGAGTTTTTCAAAAATTCAAATCAGCATTGCTAAAAAATTCTTTTGGGTTATGAGCCTCCAAAAATCTTGGAAAACATCTCAAAACACCAAAACACACACCTTCATTAAGAAAGCTTTTTGCCCCCACCCCTCGAACGGAAATCCTGTGGCCACCACTGTATTTTATTGAAATTTTACTTTTTAATCATAGTCATCTCCACGTCTATAATTGCTTTTATTGTTTTGTTATGTTTCTTAAAGTTCATAAACTCAAGATGCAACAAAAAGTGTCAGAAAATTATGAGTTTTCGTTTTTCTACCCTTCCCCTCTTCTCCGCCTTCCGTAAGACAACGATCTAATTCATTGAGACTTTACACCAGTTCCCAACCAAACTTTTTCGAAGACTAGCTGACGCAAAAGTACGAAAATATGATGAATCAGGAAGTGCTTACGTATGCGATGTGGTTTCGGTTATGCAACTAGTTCTAGGTTTTCCCTATTCTTGAATTGTAATCGGTCATTTCGTTCTGCAAAGATCACGTAGCGGTAAAGTACTTTCAGATGCTTGCCCAAGTGTGGGCTGAAAAGGATAGGAGAAAACGGATCAAAATCCTTCTTTTAAGATCAAGTATGCAAAATTTCTTCCTTTTGGAATTCATCATTCAAAAATCAGCGGAAAAAATAGTAGTATAGCTAAACAATTATAGTCCATTTTGTCGTTTTGAATAATATATTCCATAAGAAAAAACGTGCGACAGAACAAGCATCAAAATTGTTCATGTCTGCGGCACGAGTTTTTGTTTCATTGAAGATTTCCCCAATTCACTTTTTTGGGATTTTTCCATAAGAAAATTAGAATCTAAATTTTATCATAGTTTTGTTAAATAGCTTAAGCTTGCCCATTTGGTCTATGATGTGTTAATTCACTAGTTTTCTTATTGTTAGGTCCAACACTCGCCTCTTGTTCGCTATACACACAGTTTACAATCAGTTCTCTTTCGAGTACGACTTGATGTGCTTAGAAGTTTCTATCATCGATGCGTGTGGCTTCCTACTTGGGTATAAAGAAAATGATAGGAAGTGTTATGTCACTAGCGAGAAAGTGAAAGCTTCTGTCCACAAACAATTGGGGGACAGAATGATTGAAAGTTGAGAAAAATTGGAGAGGAAGAAGAAAAAAATTGTTTTTCATTCTTATTCTAAAAAGAAAAACAGTTAGAAATTAGTTTGGTAAAGACACTGAAAAAACCCGCTTACCTCGTTTTTCTTCTTGTCCACTTGCTCCAACTGTTCTATCAGTACTTCTTTCCAACTATCCATTCCAAAGAATTCGGATTCACGCTGAAAAACATCCCCTATAACTTTTGCGAAAGTTAAGTTACAATAACATTAGGTCCAGCCTAACGATGATTGTGACGGCATTATGCCCAGTATATAATCTTATGTGTGCTTTTCGGAAATACAGCGTTTTACAGGGGTGACTTTCACTCTATGTGTTTTATGAAAGCACAGTCCTTACGAAATAAGCAAACCATCGGGGCGAAGCCCAGATACTAACACGAGCTTACGAGGAGATACCTGACTCGGCTCGACCTTTTGGCAAGGAACATATATATTTTGAATCAGCTTCAAACTCTGATTCCAAATATGCTATTCCTAGCTGTCACGCACCATTCCGAAGCGAGTTATGGGCTTTTCCTGCGCAAAATTGGCATAATTGCGACTCACTGGCATTACGGCATCATCATTTAAGATGCTAATACACTTGCGTTAAGCTTCTTTCTAGGAGAAAAGATTGTATTTGTGTTATTTCGATATTTCAAGACCTTCATCCTACAGATTTCTATATACAGGCTGTTTTTCCATGTTTCGTAGTCATGCCAATTTTGCGCAGGAAAAAGCCCCTAACTTGCTTCGGAATGGTGCGTGACAGCTGGAAATAGCATAACTGAAATCAGCGATCGAAGCTGATACAGAATATAGTCCGCGCGGAAACCTCCTAAATTCGGCGACATATAGTCCTCCACCCCTAACGCGGGAATGTGCGAGAGAGGTGCGACGTAAGCGCGAGGTAGGCGCGAAGTAAATTACCCCCAGAAGCAAGCCTTAATTCTAAATAACATTATTAAATAAATAAAGGATTCGGCGCCTTCAGTACCCCTGCGGGCATGCGCCAAACGCCCACTACTTCGTAGTCGAAGAGGCAATTTTGCGTGCGAGCCTATTAGTGACTGACGGGACCAGTGACTTGCGGGGACCAGCCGTTTACCAAATCAGTGCTTTTATCCTCCCAGGTTACTCTGCTACCAATTTACCTTCCCCGGGAGGGTAGAGGCCTTGGTTGGCCCAGGGGCGGGGATCGAGCCTGTGTCCGATCTGGTCATAGCGGCGCCTGTCGCCTCAGCCACACACGCCACTCGTTCCCTCTGAATAAAAACATAATATCTAAAAGGAAGATTTCAAACGTTCTGCAACATTTTCGGTTTGACACTTTCCCTTGCTGTTTAGTTTACATCTGCTTCTCTTCTTAAATGTTCTCTAGGCAACCTTCACATTTTATGGGATTCAGGGCTCAGAACATCCTTCACTGAGGCGCTATCCTCTCTAGACTATCGAAGGCATACGCATGCTATGCTTGTCCACCTCATTAGCTTGGAAATCAAAACCCGGCATCACTAAGCCACATTGTTCCGCTATGAGATGGATGGAAGTGGGTAAGAATGGCCTCTGCCAAAAGTTGTGCCTGCTTATAACACATTTTATGATAGAGGCAGGTCCAAGCACGAAAGGTACTGCAATCAAATTTGGCTGGTTTTGGTGTCTAGTGATTGATGTAATGGCGTTGGATTCCAGGGCTTCACCGAACCTACTGTCACTTCGGAGCATGAATATTGTAATAGTCCGAACGAATTGGCATGGACTTCATGCGCGGTCAAAAAACCCGCCAGTGGATAGATCGCTTCAAAGGATTGCTCCATTGCCTCAAAAGTTAAGGCACAAGTGGTAGTGGAACAAAGTCTCAACTGCGCCACCTTTTGTGTGTCGTGCCGTATAATTTCATTCACCTTATGTACACTCCAAAGAGACTCCTTAGCAAGTATTCGAGCCACAAAGGATTTGTTTTCAAGAAGCTTCTTAAAGCCAAATCATGCTGAGACCCAGATGGGACCCTGTCGACATGAGATGTTCGTGCGAAAATGCGCAATATAACAAAATGAAAACGTACTGAATGAGGGAAAGATAGAAGGCAGGAGGAAACCGTACAATAAAAATTAGAACTATTTACTTGACGCGTTCTGCGGAAGTGCTGCATAGAAAAACATAAGAAAAAACTTCATGAATTGAAGAGTAGGTATGTGTTTACCCATTCTTTGATTTATCCACATTTTCCAAGCTCCATGGCCGGTGTGCTGTCTGAAGACTTTGCACGCGAGAAAACTAAACCGGTAGGCGAAAACTTCAGCGCCATATTCAGAATCTGACTAGAATGGGCTACCTTCTCCGATCGGGTACTAACTTAATGAGATGAAGATCATACTTCTTTTACATGACACTGCCAAGATTGCTCATGATTGTTCATGATACAACATCCTTTCAAGAAATCGGTTGAATACAAAACGCTTTCGTTTCGCCTCAATTGTGCAAGCATGGTGCTCTCATTCATTACCGTAGTAAACAGAAGAGGCTAACAAATTTGAGAGATTGGCCCATATAAAAATTGAGCTTTTGCTCGGCTATTCATTGTCTCTGTGTCACAATCCTTGTCGCGAACCAGGGCCCGGCACCGATGGTTTGGGGTCAAACTGGACTTCGTTTTGGAGTTAGAAGCAATGGGGACATCGTTTTTATGAGGTCCTGGAGGAAGCGCCAAAAAAACACGACGAACATGTCAGGTTTCACGAGTTGAACGTGTTCTTTCGCAAGCGCGCGAATTTCAAATGCAAGACAAACAAACAAATGGCTTGTTTACAGCGCACAAACAATCATATGGCTCCGAATTTGGGCTATGTGTATTCAATATTACTCCAAACTATGTTATGTAAAAAGTTCCCAAAACTTATGTGTCCTAATATCCGTTCTCGGATTTGTTGGTTTCTAGAACAATTACCAAACCAACTGGGTTGGTTCGGAGCATAAATATCGGAGAGTTCACATAAGTTTTGGACCTTTTTGATTTGGACGAACGGTCAAAAATCTATCATATAGTGAAGAGAGCGGATCAAACCGTTGCCTCTCCCCTTTTTTTGAGCCAATGGTAGTATCTACGCGTTGATAGATATCGCGCTCTAATCACTTGCGCTGTCCTTTGAAATATGTGGCGAAAAATGCATCGCAGGATTGTTGAGGCTACAGATTTGGTTGGCCTAGGAGATTTTCGACATTCTTAGCATCAAAATGGTACTATACCCAATGGCAGAACCTTTAATCGACTCGAAATGTTTTCTTTTTGCTTTTTTGTTACATTACATACCTCAAAATGCACTTTTTTCGTTTTTTGTTGCAATTTTGGTTGTATAAGGGTTTCCCTACTGATTTTCATATCGGGAGGGACTTCGTAAAATTCATGAAGTCATGGGGGACTTCGTTTCCTAAAAATCTCCAAACCAACACGTGCCGGGCCCTGTCGCGAACGCGTCTCGAAAGAGGCGTGGCCGACGCGGCCAGCGCAAGCTTAGTCGTAAAGAGAACAGAATCGCAATCGGGTGACTCGAGTCATGACTTTATGCTGTTTCCTTTGTTGCAATAAATGCCTGATAGTAAAGATTATTCAGCATGAGTTTCTACAATCCTTTTTTAGTCATAGCTTCAAAAACAGTACTGAGACAAAACCGCCATGCTGTTTGTCTTACAGCAAGTCAAATAACCATTGTTCGGGCAAGTAATTCTGAAAGATCGAAAGAAGAAATGATGAACTGCCTAACAGTAGATGAATCTTTAGGAACGCGAGCCTATACCTACGTGCACTTTGGAAAACATGATGTTTAGCTTGCAACACAAGTCGCTTCGCGAAGAGGGCCGAGAGCGTTGTTTGTCGGAAATCGGTTGCGCAACTTGATTCGCTGCCGGACCCCTCATGACTGGCGCGCGATCAAACGGAATGCCACGATTAGCCGCTCTGGAAACGGTTCATTGCTTTCTCTGAGCCTTCGTTTATACTTTTCCGTCTCATGCTGTGTTATGCTCACCAGAAGAACCTTTGAGCAGGCTAAAGAGAACATCAAAACTCAAGTTTGTGCAGAGAATCCCGTAGATAAGGTATGAAATAAATTCAAAGGTACAACACAAGGAGGGATGTCGTTTATTAGGCCTTGCCATAATTGAATCTTCCTTTTCAAGCCTTATTTATGGAGCGTTATTACATCAGATGCACATCTGTGATGGTCCACAAGTAAGGAAAGCAGCCTCAAGCGGATACTCGAAGTGCGATGGCGCAAGTATCAGGGCTTAGGGATTTGAAATGTATGGTAGTCTAGCATGATGCTGAGGGTGAGCATTCCCGCGAAATTACACATAAGCACACTTACTTTTTATTACATTTGTATCATCTTTCATACCATTGTACCAACACTCAAATCGATCTATTAATATCCGGTAGCATGCAGTAATCACAAAAAGTAATTTCAACTTTCTAAGCTCTGACAAAGGCATTCGCCGAAACGTTTTCCATAAATAAAGAATGATTACTATTTTGGTACAGTTGTTACAATAATCAATCTCCCATTGACGCACTAGCCTTCAGATGGGCACAGCGGTCACCTTCCCATGGTAGTGAGGAGAAGGGGGTATATTGATTCGCTCTACCGACATGAAAGCCTCTTCCATTTTGCACTTCGTAAAATTCTTGCAAAAAAGCGTAAAACAACGATGTTGGCCAAGAAATAGTAGTACTTTTTTCTACTGCTAGTTTTGTGGGGTTTTGCCCAACAAAGAAAACAGAAAGGAAAAATCTGACCGCGGCGGAGGTAAAGTGAATTTGATGAGCACATTTTAAAGCGTTCCTTTTTGAATAAATTAAAAAATGCTCACAATGAGTTGTTTCAGAGTATACTTGTCCTCCGGCAACACAGCTCGCCTACCATCTCGCATAAACTGAAGAGCATGTGCGAAGAGATCTCCATCGCGATTGATAAAAAGGGCTCCTTCTCGATCAATCTGAATGCTATTTGCACTTTGAGTCACAAATGAGCAAATTCTAATAAACTTACAGCGCAGTTTTTCAAGAAAAGCAAAACTCTGCCCGAATTTCTGTCAATCCTCATCAGTTCGCTGAAGTACGAGCTTTTTGATCGTGCTAGCGTTTCAAAGTTGGTAGTGTATCTATGATAAGAACAGGTAGACGAAATGGTAAAGTGCTAATTGTTACCTACTTCTTCCCTCCAACGTTCAGGTAGACGAGATCTATCCCGCACATGGCGTTAGCTTCTTCCATAATCTGAAGGCCAAAATCTCTAGTTTTCCTTGCGTCAAAGATAGTTCTTGGAAGATCCATCATAGCTCGACAAGTAAAGGACTGGGAGAACCTTCGACAAAGGCAGTGAATCACAAAAGTTTGTTCTCGTATCAGTAAAGTCGATTATTTGATTTTTCTTATAACCTTCTCTATCATCCTTTCGTTGTTTCAATAATGTGGTTGAGCCGGATCAAAATTCTACTTCCGTTCATTTCGATTTTTCTAAGTCCTTCAGTTCTGACAACATTCTGATAACACGATGATAATCGCTTTATGCTTAAACAGTAAAGATTTAATCTTTTATATTTGCTAAGAAAGTGCTCGCTAGATAACTTAACCTTTTAGGGCAAGCTCCAGACAAAACTTACTTTCGGAACATCTGGTGGTCCTCCGTAATTTCCATAGTTTCCTGAAATGCTCATCTTTGGCTATTTCCACACGTATCCTTCTATAGTTAGTGCGATAGCGAGGAGGTCTAAAACAAGAAGTATAACGGCATTGAGAGTATTAGTTTTTGACAAATTAAGAGATGGCGCCTAGACTGAAGAAAAGAAAATTACCAGATATATATAATATGAGGCTTTTGATTATCTCTGTCTTCATTTATATGTAACATCAGTGCGCAATTTTTCAAAGCGTTTCATCAAAAAACTGAAAAATGGCGTTCTATTGGAGCTTTTGGAACGCTGACATTATGTCTCATTTATTCGTCTTCACCAGTTAGGTGATTTTCGGGTGTTTATCAGGTTGGAGATCATACTGCTGGGAAAATCAGTTTAGAAGTAAACAGGTGTAGTCATGGAATGATTTACCTTTGGTGACATAGGAGACAGCGTTGGTAATATGCGAATTATTTTCTGTGTTGTAAGTATGACACATATAGGGCTTATAAAATTGAGTGTCGTTTGCACCAGCATCTCCATCTTCGCGCTGGACTCTGCGCTCTTCCGCGGGACATGCTCTCTGAACACTTTCCCAGGGCAAGCGTGGGAAAGGCGGAGCCTTCATCGATTGAAAGTGATCAGGGAACATGTTCCGCAGAAGAGACGCAGAGTCCAGCGAGAAGATGGAGGTGGTGGTGCAAACGACACTCAATTTGATAAGCTCTGTAGATAGGTTCCCATGCAGCAAAATCTTTTGAAGGATATCAACGAATGTAACAGCTCTTATCGTTAGATAGTGAACACTTCTTGAAACATGGTTTGATAACATGATTACGCACTCTTCATTAGATATAACTATGACGAAACTGTTTGGCTGTGAAATAAGTTTAATTTTTGCGCATAATACTCGGTGTATGGTCTAAATTTTCTGCGCATCATTCCACAGTTTGACAGGAAAATCAATGCATTTTGAGCTGACGACAATTTTTATGAGGCAAAAATCCGATTTTAACGTCTTTTTTCTCCTAAGTTTCCCACGTTTTCAACTTTCAAAATTTATTCAACAAACTTTGAAACAAAACAATCTCGCAACGACGTTGACCTTCTTGCGTACTTAAGCTCTGTGAATCCAAGCTTCTAAATAGAATGGTATAACCCATAATTCCAATTCTTCTATAACCACAGATAATTTCTACAGATTCTTGCATTGTCTGTCTGCCATCCTCCCTTACGAGGCCTTCGATGCCCAAGGTCTACATCGAAGAGATGCCAATAAGGAGACCTACAAGTCCACAAAAGAAACTTGCGATACCTTTTAGCAGTTCTGAGACCTCTAAAACTTTACCGGATATACTAGGTAATGGGCAAAAGTAATGGGCACCTCGTTCTGAAAACTTTCGGAGAATTTTTTCCTATTAACCGAAAAACAACCAGCAATTCAAACGCTTTTACATAAAGTGACCTTCGCAGGCTATTTTGACAGCTTGCAGCTCACAGCTACAATCCTTCGAGCAGGCTCTTCGAAGAAATCAGGCAGACTGACGCCACCCAAATTTGTGCTGTTGTGCTCTAAAATCCCTAGACACGTAACATAACATTCGTGAGGCTTTCCAAGCTCCTTCTAGTAGTCAACCAATTGTGCAGTAATTCTCTATTTTGCATAAAAGGGGCAGATTTTTTCTAAAAAGTGCAATGGCGTCGATTCTTCAGCTGAAAACATGTTATGGATTTCCTAAAAATACTCAAAGTTGAGGTAAGTTCCACACGACTGGGTTAGAGCGCAAAAGGCTTTCTCAGATGCCTGTCTTAAAAGCAGTGTCCGGGCAAAAAGTCGATTTTGAGATTTCATGTTTATCCAGGCCTATTCGCTATGCTGAATCCGAAAATCCACACTGGAGAGCGCGAAGACGGCGAAAAAAGGCTCTAAGACAGAAGGGAAATTAGGAGTGGGCGGGGTCCTTCCTACTGTGAATTTACTTTCCCAGCTTCCGGAGCAACTCAGACAATCGACCGGACTCCTCCGCCGGACAGTCCGAATCTGCCAGAGTCGCGCCGGACCCAGTTGACCAATGAGAGAGGGGAAAATGGGCGGTCCGTCGCGGTGACATTACTGGCAGGCAAGTGGGAGGCTTCTCCGGCCCTGCTGAAAAGGTACGCCATTTCTCCGGCGCTCTTTGGAAGAGCCGCGCCGCAGAAAATGGGAGGGGTCCGGAGCAGAAATGGGAGGTCTCCGGAGCAGAAAATGGGAGGTATCCGGAGCAGAAAATGGGAGGCCTCCGGAGCAGAAAATGGGAGGTCTCCGGAGCAGAAAATGGGAGGTCTCCGGAGCAGAAAATGGAAGGTATCCGGAGCAGAAATGGGAGGGCTCCGGCGGACAAATGGGAGACCCACCGCTGGGGAAACGCCGCGACCCTGCCATTTCTCCGGCGGAGGGGTCCTATCCGTTGCCTGAGAATCTTCTCAGTTCTGGTTTTGAGTGAGCGTTCGCATGTGGGCGGTGGAGATGTCTGGGCGGTTAGCGAGATCGAAAGACTGCTCCGGAAGCTGGGAGCGTAAATTCACAGTGGCCAAGACGCCTCCCACCTGCTAATTTCATTCCTCCATAAAAGCACTTTTTCGCCATTTCCGCGCTCTCCAGTGCAGATTTTCGAATTCAGCTTAGCAAATAGGCCCGGGTAAGCACAAAATCTCGACTTTCTGCTCGGACACTACCTTCAAGGCAAGCTCATTTAAAATAATTCGATGAGAGAGTGGATCATATGCCTCCTACTTCTCACTGTTATATCTTCTGTTGCAAAACGTTGGCACCGCCAGTCTATCATGATGTTTGTGAGGGTCTCCTCACTCGAGGCGGGGCAAATATCTTTGGTTGCCTCATTTGTTTTACTGTGGCGGCGCTGCTCAAAAGACGAAATTACTTGAAGTGACGAGCTTTGGTTTTAGGCACTTATAGAAATAACATGATGCGGGCCCATATGAAAATCTCTATCAGAGGACTTTATATGTACTAACATTTGCCAATGCTTGGGCATTCAAACAAGTTTTCTTTGTAAAAACTGCATTTATTCATTGCGTGCCTTATCACTTTTGAATCACCTCAATAGCATTTTTATCTTAAACGTTGCATACTTTTCGAGCTTCTCTGAAATTCTGATACCTTGAAGGCGACATGATACAGATGGCAAAAAACATTTTTCACCTCTTCGGTTTTTCGTTTTAAACCTAAAAATGTCTCGATTTTTTAAAAAATACTGAAGCAAGGAGGTTGGGCGAGCAACAAACATCGAAATTATACCGAACACCACACAAGAATTGAGTGGAAAACGAATTGCGGACAAATATACTGAACAACTAACTATCTTATTAGCTCCCGTTTTCATACTTTCGCTGGATTTTATTTTGCTGCTGCCTATCAAATATTGTACAAATTATCTTTCTGCATTCATTATTTGCACCAGGTTTTTGCTACATGAGAAGAGAGCAGGCTGTTATTGCTGCAATCAGTCTCTCGCACTACAATTCTCCAAAGCTGCAAGGTCAGCTGGGAAAAAGTGACCTATTAATCCCATCCTTGTCAAGCAAGGAACTTGTCTTTGACCGCACTGTCATGTCATAAATTTTTCGCTTACGTTCTTCACGAAATTGCCCTTGTAAAACATGAAAGCACACACAGCTGACTCAGCCGTTGCTTTGTTGCAATGACACACATGGCCACACCCACTGATAAGAAAGACGAGTTTAGTCATAAACTGCAGCTGTGACTCAGGAAGAAGGTTTTATCTTATCGAACAATGAGAATCTGTTCGACCGTGTCATGATAACTCGAAGTAAAGTGATGTAGCCAGGCAAATAAGAAAAATGCTGTGTTGTACATGTAATCGCGATCTCAATACGCCCAGGAATTATAGTGATTAAGAAGTGATGAGAAAATCTTACTTAGGCCTGTGGCTCTTTAAGTGTCAAATTGTGATACTAACGCTTGATCAAACAACCTATTACAGTCGAGCTCATTTGTAAACTCATTTGCGATTACTCGCATACCAAACTGAGTTGGTGTTGTGTATGCTGCAAAAAAAAACTCTACCTTCAAATGAAGCGGGCCAAATTTGCTCACATACCTATCGGTGCGATGAGTTATGGGTTAATTTTGCTAGCAATAAATATCAGCTTCTTGATTTTTCAGCAATCTCTGAGCTACATTGCTGGAAGTTGGCACGGGGGGATAATAGGGCATACTTATTAGACTACAAAATTTCCCTTGGGAACTATCTTCCTTCTCCGATTTTAACAACATTTTGCAAACTATGAGCTGAGGCACTGGGGTGAGGGCATGCTGATTCCAAAATCAGCAGGGCAGTGAGCTCACATAAAGAAGTGAAGGGGGGGAGAGGGAAGTGTTATGTAGGGGTGGAAAGCAAAGGTCAATTTTGTCTTATGACCGCATGCATTAACATTCCCACTATACTGATTATCTAATCCAACCGTGCTAAGCATCTTGCTGATAAGAGAAAATGAGTTTTTGAAATATCAAATTTTTCGATAAACCCCAAATTTCGACTGGTGATTCATAGTAATTTGCATGACTCCACTACATCATTTGTTCTTATCAGCAACATGCATAGCACTGTTGGGTTAGATAACCTGTACAACTTTGGAAGCTTATTGTTAGATTCGAAGAAAGACAAACAATTTTGAAGGAAAGACGGCCGCCGGGGAAAATAAATGTGTGGTTAACAAGTCAACAAATTCGGAGTAGTGATCTCCAGTCTCTTTCAGTACATATTGGTCTTTACCAGGGTTGAACGTGAGTCAGGCGCGCCCGACCCGAGGGTCGTATTGGTGGTAAGACTTGGGGGGGGGGTCATAATCAGGAATCGAATTCGCTTAGAACTAAGGAAATACTACGATTGAGTAAGTGAAGAAGAAAAGCTGACCGATGCATATCACAACTCCAATAGAATTGAAGGAATGACTATCGTGACCAGCATATTGATTGACTCTATCGAAGTTTCAGCCAAATTTCAATTCTCTATACCTTACCTGACACTACTAAGGTCACCAAAGAAGCTTGTTGTGTAAATTGAGCAAAGTT